GAAACTCTTCTTCAGACTTGAACACTCTAAACTGACATTCATCTGTTTTAGTCAGATATGCCACAAGCATCTATCGTTATTTCTAGATGTAACGTAAAAATAAGGAACGTTAGTTTAAAGGCCTTCAGTTTGTCAATACCTTCGCTAATGTTTCAAAAACTAGAGTGGAGTTAATGTTTTTGGCCATGTTACTTTCGAGAATTGTTAAGTGACTGTCGTTAGTAAACTAGTTCACTAACGTGTCCCTTTCTGAAACCTCAGAACCAGCCTAATAACCAAAAATCATGTCCGGCACAAAATCAAATTCTAACACTAATTTTATTAACGCCTATGAATCGATTTGTCTTTAGTTGTGTGTAGAAACCTACCTGTGGTAAAATTATCATTTTATCTCCTAGCAACATTTCACTATCAGTCAAATAAAATTGTGTTTTATTGAGTTTAATCACGCTTATTTGGTTAAGTATGGTTACGCGCATGTCGTTAAAAAAGATGGATCGAGTGTGTGCTCCATGACCAAAGCGTTTTTCTTAATTCCTTTGATTTTTTTAAAATTGCGTTTCTACAGCAGCAATTAGTGATGACGTTCGAGGAAAACCAGTGCGAAGTAAAAGCATTTGACGTTTTAGTTTCAACCATCGAATGTGATCTTCAACCTCTCTGACAGCGTCCAATCAGAAGATACCTATGTTGCGAATCCACCAGCGGAACCCACTCTCCTCCTTGATACACCCACGTTGCCTCGAGTGGCGCAAGGTTCTGGCTTTGGTGGCGTGTCGGTTTTCAGCTATCCAAAAATAGTCATTGAAAGTGAACAGAACAACTCCAAGCATTCTGTTGCTAACAAGAGTGATTTAGAAGTACACAACCACTTTCCTGAGCCAGTTGAGGAGACTGGTAACAGTGCAGAAAAGTATCGAATGACTACTCCACGTGGAAGTCCATTTTCAATAAAAAAAGACGCCTCGTTTCACAAATTAGGGCATGCGAACCTACAGGCATTTGTTGGAAAAAAGTCGGTGCGCCCTATTCGGAAACTTCAGCGCCAGGAACGGGTAAGCTTGCTTCCCTTTAGAATAACGCTTATTTAATTCAAACGAGGTCGTTAATTTTGATTTTTTTTGCAGTTCACCGTGGAGAACAATCACCGGAGGTACTCTTCACCCAGCACACCGCCGAGGTTAAGAACCGTTTTTCCAGAAGTGCGGTCGTTTTCCGCGTCAACGGCGTCTTGCTGTTTACCAAACCAGGCTCTGTACTAAGTGTTCAGAAAATAAAATTATTCATTATCGTCGTGGGCTGATGTTTTTGGGATTCAAAAATCGTATGGTAAAGATTTCTAGTCACCGCGTACCAGGTAGTACCATAACATCAAACACAAACTTCTCACTTTTAGTATAGGATTTCCATGTTATTTGCCTCACAAATGCCCAAACAGCGGCGACCAACGTAATATGACCTAAGTAGCTAGTAACTATGTTCCAATTGGAAAACATCAAGCTGTGCATTTATTGAGGAAATGAGTCATTCTTTAATTAGCTTAGGGTCTTGAATAACGAATTATGGCCCCCAAAACTGCTCAAAATGTCAAATTTTGATGTTTCTAATTGTTTTTATAGTAAAATACAAAGTACCTGAGTAATGATTTTGCAACACAAAGCAGGATAGGTTTCACTGTTTACTGATGGCGATAAAATTTACTTGTTGGGTCTTATAAGTCTCTGGCTGATGATTTATTTTGGGAGAATTATTAGATCTTTTCCATTTACCAGAATAAAACAAGTTATCTCTTTCCTACAACGTTTATTGGTCCAATTATGGTCGATGCAATTGCCTATTTAACAGTATTCCCACACGAGACTGTTAAAAACTCAGTTTTAGTCAGCAGTTGTTATCCGAAGTGGTACAGTCCTTAGGCTACTCACTGTAATGCCAAACCAGTTTACATTTTACTAGTCAAACGTATAAAATAGGAAGATCGCAGTGTTTGCCATTTTCCCATAATTTTTGCCACACACTTACTTGCATGATCACCACTTCTTGTCGTAGGCAATTATCTTGAGGCACATTGATAAGTAGAAGTGCACAGCGTACTGAAATATTTCATGCATGCTAAAGTAAATTTACTTATTAGTGGATGAGGGAACTTATCCCACCGTCTTTTAGCTATATTGTACACTTATTCGCTATTCTTGACTTCGAATGGTGCTTCTGACAATCTGATCAGGGCTTCATTCCCGATTAAATGAATGTGGAGAATTGGATGTATAGGAGACCTTTCCATGTTTGGTCAAACGTAGACAAAGCATAAACTAATGACGTGCCGCAATATTAGGTGTCGATTACCAAGCATGAATCAACCTACAAGGTCTTTAGCTAGAGGAGGTCATTCTAAAGAGCACAGTGCCCATATTCTTAATCCATTTATCACCACGCAAGTGTAATGAATGAAAAAATGTGCGCCTGGAACTATAGAGTAGACTAAAGATAAAAATTGCTAGAAGTAGTGAACTATAATGAAACTGAAAAGCTACAAAATAGCACAAATTTAAATCAACGAACAATGCTTTTCTGAATAGGGCAACTTAAAGGCATCCAAAATCACACTTGAGTATTCATAAACACAGAAATATCAAGGAAATTATTTTGTTGATGGTTATGCCAGGCATTTCTTACTACCGGCACATACGTGTAAAAATTAATAGATAAAGACAAATTGTGAGACGATATAAATTAATTTTTCATGTTGTTTTGCAATAGTTATTTTCAATAAATTTAGAATGAATTAAAGTCTAGAACAAAAAGTGAAAAAAAACCTAAGTCAGTTTAGCATAAACTTGAAACAAAACTGTTGTTTATGATTAAATCACCTCACCAGTTTCCTTTTAGACTTTTCCAGACTTCATAGCCAAGGGGTTATAACATTAAATTGATGTCGCATTTTATGCGCTTGTTATATAAATGGGGGATATTTTGATTTTTTTCAATGTCTAGATAGAAGATCTTGAACAGATACTTTCCAGTTCTGATAGATTCCGTCTAACTTCCTTGTGGATTTCAATATTTCTAATTTTCTATCACTTGAACAGACTTAATGACTGCCTCTTCTATGGTCTAATTATTTTTAATTGCTTTCTGCTATGATATAACATGCAGGTTTAATTTAAAAAAATGCAAGGAAGATTTATTCCTTCCTCGGGTCGCACATACTTATTTTAATCATGTCTATTTTGTAAAATATCACGTACATGGACATCCCAAATTCATATTATATTTTCACAAATACAAATACGTACATTAATTACATGCAAATGAAATGAGCATGGAAGCTGATTGGTTTTTAAAATCATGAACGTATCTCGAAAAAGAGTCATTATGTAGACACCAAATTTCTCAAAACGTCCAAGTACTGTAATTTGGGTCTCTATGGAGATGCGTTAGCTAAAGTTACGTCAAAATGAAATTCTGAAGAACATATGGCACTATTATTATTATTATTATTATTACTGATGTCAAGGTTTCCTTGGTGAGCCAAATGATTCTCCGTTTTTAACAATCTCATTATATCCTACAATAAAGCACACATATTTAGTGGCCTAATAAACAGATCTTAAGATACCTTTAGTATTCTCATCCCACCTGGATATTTGGAGTTGAAACACAGCAAAAAAATGTCGCAGTTGTGAATGTGAGGCTCACACTAAGGGATTCTGCAGATTAACCGATTCTCAAACAGCACACTTCCCAGCTAGTACACTCTCTAAATTCCAATTATGCTGTAATATGGAAAGCCTGACAAACGTCAAAAGTCTCTTATTCAACTATGAATTTTCATTGAACAAAAATGAAATGTAAAGTCATTACGCTAATACCTCTAGGTGCTTCACCTGAAACTCCACATTTGCTAACACAAAAGGTTAGCTCCCGATATATCCCTACTAAACGAAAAATTCAATTTATTCGGATGTGGAATGTTGCCTGGAAATTGCATTTTACCTGTATTTTGCCGTTTACAATTACTTTAAGTTTGATAATCAGAGTTACACTCTTTTCTAATTCAGGATTCTTTTCTGTACCAATTCGCAATAGCTCTTGTGATCTATTAAAAGGAATGATAATTTTTAGCCAAAGTAAGAGGCCAGGCTAGTTTAGGCCTACATAAATGTTTTTAAAAATTGCGTGATTCTGCATAATTTGCACAAGGATTATATCATCATGAGTAACATGTGCAGCACCTCGAAAATTACAAGGAACTCAAATGCAAGTAAATTCCCATTTTTCTAAAGGTGTGCAAAAATTCACGATATTGTTTGAAGTTATTATGTGAAAGTAACTTCAAATAAGTCGACCTATTATAGAAAGATGAGAGAGTGTGTTGGGGACTTTCCCGATCATTGCTTGAATATTTTAATGATCCGTCCAATAAACGTTGCCACAATGCACCACATTAGCACTCTGCAATCTTTTTGCGCAGCTATAACAATTTTGAGGCATAGATGGCAGACAAGTTTAGGATGACTACGTAACTTATTACGTCATGCCAAAATCTACTGTTCCCAAATGTTAAAGGAAAAACAGTTTTTCTGACTCATATCTGTTGATAAGCCTAAACACGTTACTAATCCTGCTTATATGTAGGTTTTGGTGTTAACAGACAAACGTGAATGCCAAATTGTGGCAGTATCATCTTCGATAAAACATCACTTCACCTATTTTCAATTACTCTTCACTAGTAGGATTTGCGCATGATTTACGTAAATTAGACTGATGATAGTTAATATCGTTTATAACTGCATAATACTATAGAGGAAAGCAAATGAACAAATTTATGTGGAGTTAGTTTTACTCCTCAAAGGTTGTGAAATGATTTTAAGTTGACCAACCAAAATTGTCCTGGGGTGAACACACTTCAGATAACGGGTAGGATGTCTCTCATAACCCCGTCAAGGGAGCAGCGATATGATCGCCAGTTGCGTCTTTGGGGTGATAGAGGCCAGGAAATTTTAGGGGACACCAGCGTCTGTCTATTAGGGGCTGGCGCAGTTGGATCAGAGCTGCTTAAAAACCTGGTTTTACCTGGTATTGGGAGCTTTACAATCGTCGACGATGCTCTTGTCACAAGAAAGGATTTGGGGAGCAAGTTTGTTTGTAATTCCAACTAAACATTTCACGCAGCTTTTTTGTAACTTCGTCAGATCTCGGAAAGGTTTTAAATCTGTCACTCTTATTCGTCTTCAGCCTAGGGCCCAAGCTGTTGCTGAACTCCTCTCTGAATTAAATACCGATGTTCGGGGGAATTTCATTGTAGAAAGCCTTGATAACTTACTGGAGAATGACCCAGACTTTTTTCTTGGATTTGGTGCAATTGTTTATACTGACATCCGGGAGAAGTAGGGTCGTTTCTCTAGCCAACATTTACAATTGTTAGCCAACTTCTGAGAATTAGTCGAATCGTTTCTCCTGCTCATATTCCCATCGTCGTATGCATCAGCGTCGGTTTTATTGGATTTCTTCGTGTGTCAGTGCCGGAGCATGCTATTATTGAGTCACATCCCGATGCGATCAAGCCCGATCTTCGACTTGACAATCCCCCGGAGGCTTTTGTCCGCTTGGTTAACGAACCAGAAAATGATATAGAGGCCCTTCCAGCGAGTGAGCTCGTACAGGTCCCGTGGCTTATAATAATTTATAAGTTTATTCTGCGTTTTCGGCAGGAGGTGAGTTACGTAAATGAACTGTCTCACCGTGCACTCGATAACTTACCCAAAGAAACCTTTCATTTTCAACTTGCTTTTATTATTTTGTTGTAAAATTGTGATTTCTTCGGGTTATCACCCCTGCATACGGGTATTACTGATATTCTTGGATTCGTTTGCTGAGTCATTCCAAAACTCATATCTCCAAATGGGAGTTGAATTGTGCTGTCGGTATAAATTCTCAAACATGTAGTTCCCTATCTTGCCGGTAATACCGTAAGAAATTTCGCACATTGATTTAACTCGTGAACTTTGGAATGGTTAAATGTATTTTTTGCTTGAAATCCTCGTTGATATAATTGTTTGGCTTATTTAGACTCTAAATTTTGGTAGCCCGAATACCACTGATTAGTCTCTTATATAGTTACCGTTCATAATACTGACTCAGGCTTTTGTATTTGATAGAAGGGCCACTTTCCAGCCTCATATGCTGATAAGCAAGAAGTCCGGAAATTGATTACTTCGGGTTAGTATGTGGATTTCTTTCAAAGCATTAACTGTTAGCCGCCGACTCCATGCTGGAGAAATGTCGTTCCCGAGGAGAGACAATCGAGCCCCTATTTGAGCTCACAAATTTCCAGGAAGCAGCGCGTGCCGTAAACACAGCAATCTCTGAAACTAAGGTTGGTGATTTGTGCAAGTCTTGGACCTCAAGCTAATTCAATTAAACGTTTTCCTTTATTGTCCTCGTAGATTCCACCAGAGGTTACTCAGATATTTGATGATTGCCGTTGCGTATGGTCAAACACCTGCGTACTGAGGTCACCTTCTAAATGCGTAAGTTTAAGCAAAAAGATTCCGGCCGTCTATAGATTGAGTACTTTGCTTAATTAATGGACTCAAGAAGCTACTTCGTCTCATTTTTTTTGTAGCCACCAGCCAAACATCGTAAGTCTGAAAAGACCCAGAGCCCTCTAATGAACTTGTCGATGGCCACATTCTGGAAGCTCGCCAGTGCGGTAAAGGAGTATACGTTGAATGAAGGCCATGGATGCCTGCCAATTCGGGGCGACTTGCCTGACATGTCATCGAGCTCCAGTCGTTATTTGAAACTCCTTTCTGCTTATCGAGAAAGCGCTGAAGTGGCTGTCGAGCAACTGTCATCGCGATTGTCACACGTGAGTAGCAACCCATCGAGCAATATTCCTTTTCGCTGTCTATTAAACGCCATTTACGCTTTTCCAGTTAAGTGGCCTGCGCCTTGAAGACGTAAGACTTTTAGGTAAGGAAGTTTATGACGATTGTTTGCTAAACGGGTGTGTGCGCTTCTCTGAACTATTTGTTCTCGTTAGCACGCAACGCTGCGTATCTAAGGGTAATTAAGTTCCGCTCACTGGAGGAGGAATTGAAGCTGTCGCCTGCGCGTTCCGACGACCTACGTATGTACACATTTTCCATCTACTATTTGCATCCTTATAGTTATCGAGATAGAATGTGTGCTCGTTCGTTCTGTACTTTTTTTATTTTCATGTGTAAACTGGTACATGAGTACTCTGCTGCTGGTGTTAATTAAGTGTGCCTTCTTTTTGTCCATTGTTTTAAAAACATGCCCCATGCCACAGTCCCCTAAATAACTACTTCTGGCTTCCACCGTTCGAACTTTTAATAGTACAGTCCACGCTTACGAACACCATACTACAAACGTTCGCACCATTACCTTTTGTGACAGGTGTTATCAGTTGACGTTTAGTAAAAGTTAAGAATTTGGGCCAAATCTCGTTTATCTTCATCTCATTACCGCGATTCGACTTTAAGAAGACCTAATTTTTAATTGAACTTGAATTTTCGAGTCAAATTCCGGGACATTCATTTGTAGAATGTTTTGTTCGCGCAAAACTCTAGTATTATTAATGGTTTGAGCCGTTACCATTCGTCAGTTATCTGTCCGGATACCTATTTATGCAATCAGGTAAAGCTCGTTGACAGAAACCTCTTATATGCTATTGTAAAACCCATAATTTGGCACTGCAACGCTACGTTAAAACTCAGTGATTTGAGGGTAATAAATTTCCTTCCAGATTTACTTCAAGTTGCCTCTAAATCCCAAAATTAGGTGATTTTTTGGCATATAACGTCGAACCGAAGCAAGAATGTTCTAGTGTGATCGTGTCTGGCGTTTGAAAAATGTTTTATTAGCAGTCTGCTTGCTGTTTACAGCAGACACTTAATTCGCTTTTCTAGCATCTTGTCCATGTGCATGTCGCTTCCCTTGCTTAGACCTGATCCCAACCCACGAATGCAATGACGCCATCCTGTGGTACTTTATGCTTCGTGGAGCAGCCAGCTTCTTTGCTGAACATGGACGGTGGCCAGGCAGCCTTTGCGGTACATCCTCGCCTGCGACGGCATCAGGAGCCGGTGCCGACGGTGGGGATAGCCAACTCTTCTCACAAATAGTCGAACTCGATCTGCCAAACTTACGGAATCACGTGAACCGTGTCCTCACTGCAAGCGGCGTCGCCGTGAATCGCGTCTGTGACGACTTTGTACATGTGGGTTCTGTGCTTATTGTCTTGCAAATATTAGTATTTAAGTGTGCACATTTGCCGTCTTCCAACACACGGTCACTCTAGGCCTTCAGAGTGCCGTTCCAAGCCGTGGCGGTTTTTCGTGATATTAACTTTTTCTGACCAGGCCTGTGCAGGTACTTGTCTATTGCCTGAAAGTCAACGAATTGTGCTCTCAAACAGAAAAAGTCGCAATATTCCGCTTTTGGTGGGTAGTATCATTGTCCTAGTGCTATCAGCTGATTGCAAGTAATCGGCTACGAACATCCCACTTTGGAGTTTTTCATTACTTTGTCTGGAAGCTAGCAAAAGCGCGAGTTGGTGGTCAACGTCTCTAGCATGCAGCACAATATCTGCAGGTCTTTGTTTAGTTAGTTTTCAGTTAGATTCTTTTTTGCGCACTGAAGTGATGTGGTTGTACGGGCGGGGCTTAATTTAGGAAGGTAGACTTACGACAGCACTTAGTGTCATGGTGCAAGATTTATAGCACTTAAAATAGCATCTTTTCATATCTTCACTGTTTCGAATTAATGCTACCAATTTTAATAGAGAACATTGCATTTGTATTTCCGACACTCCGCTTGGTGATAGCGTACATGAAATGACCGAACTGGGTAATTTCAATTACTAAGGCAAACGAAATCCTGAATTAGTATGCAGTGACATGTGCGTATGTTGTACTTCCAATTCTATTTACCACCTCAAATCACCCAATTTTACCGTTCAAACATGTGCTAAGCTTTAACAAAATTGCCTTTTAACTCACCTACCTTAAGCTTCACGGAATTACAAAATGTTGCTCATTTTCCAGTCGCTGGTTCGAAGTTTTTAATCAGTGTATGTATGCTGCGGGACAGTAGACTTTAAAATTTTGATCACCACAAACACCTACACATCATCACAATGTCTGAGGAGTTGGCAAATTATTTTTCGCAGCTACAACAACAGCTTAAGCTTTCACTTATTCTTTTTCCTTATTGAGAAGTCTGAATTTGTTTGTAGAACTGGCTTCTTGAGACCAAATCGACTTGGTTTCTAAAATGTGACCCCATCTAAGCCATTCCTAGGCGCTTCAATGAAGCGGATTGTTAAAACTCCAATTCGTTTTACTTTGTGAATTTGAGTAAAATTGAATCTGATTATTACTGTCATAGTTCAAGGGGATTCCTCACCTGAGTAGCTTGCAATGTCTGGTAACCTCACTTTTGTGACCTACATGCGGTGAATGTGTCGTCTGATTTTGATGTTGGTTTCACTACAGCCAGCAGACGCGGTGAGTCGGTCATCCCACCAAAAAATCCTGTGTCAAGTCGGACGACGTTGTTGTATTGGCCCTAGCACTCTATGCTTATTCCAGAAAAAAGAGGCAAGAAAGGGCGTGGACAACCGTTTCCTCGTTCAAAATCGTCTAGGACAAATGAAGTTGTTTACGCAAACAGTTTGAATTAACTGGTAAAAGTACAAATGGCAGAAGGTCCAGATAAGTGAGAGGGGTAGCGGGGCGGGGCGGTGCGGGCACAAGGATGTAACCGAGGGAGGGAGGGAGGGCGGTGTGTCAACAGATTTACCACATACCCTTCCTTGTTAAGTTCGTTGGTCACGGATAACTTCGTGGGCCCATGTTTGGAATTAATTCAGAATGTGAAAGAACTACTCCACTGCTGCTACAAATTGTCGCTTAGTTTAAGCAACTGAACTCACAGCCAATGTTGGGTTTCAGTTGTTTTTAATGTCGCCGTGTATAAGGGAAGTTTTATATTTAGTCTAATTCTTGCAAATTACCTCAAGTTTGCGTTTATCGCCTTTCTAAATTAGGTCTTATCTCACGACCGTTAGAGCTTTCGAAACGAGCTTTTTAAGCTTAGATTGTGTCGTCACCATAAACGCAATGTCTCACTTCATTTTATCGACAGAGGTTTGATTCTTTTTGACCATTTTATTATCAAGCAAAGCGTGGTGTTATGACGACGCGAACTGCAAATGATCTTTGTTAATCTGAACAAATCACGAATGACGAATGCGTCATTGACTTTGTTCGGCCACTTGGAATCACTAATCCTCGGTTTCACTAGACCTGCTGATCAGTCACGAGGGTTAATAGTTCGGATCTCCGGCTTTTGACTAGATAATGCTGATTCTGCCTTTTTTTAATATAAATCTTTTTTTCAAATAGTGATGACCAACTAGCTTCACTGAGTAAGTTCACGTGTTTTCCTCGAGAGGGATTGAGAACTTACCTAACGAATGCCTATCCTATTAATTATCACCGTGAATGGTTTGCCAACTAGTCGAATACCTCTAAACTCTTCCTTTGGTCAGGTCGATTCCAACTTGTTTTCATGAGTTTGCATGTTTTTCACTTGTTGTATCATGGCTCTCTAAATCTCAGTTGTTCTGCAAGCTTCGTACCTTACTTAAACTCTGATAGTTTCATTATCTTTGGATAATTTCTATGAAGAAAATTAACCGATAATCACTTTTAACGGGACTAACATTGTGCTATTGTTCCGTAATGAAAACAGTTTTCAATTGGTAGATTGTACCTCCGAATTACCAGACCAAAGTCAGTTAACAATTTAGACAGCAGTGATTTATTGCAGTGTCTGAAATATACTACAGTAATAGTCGGTTGTCTGTGGGGCATAGCAGTGGCCCACCTAGTTTAACTCCTGTAACCTCATGCTTGCCTGGCGGGTGCCCGTGGTGAACACTTGCCTCTCTTTGTGCCTAGGAGATGTGCCGTTTCGGCGGCAGCGAGGTGCACTCCATCGCCGCGTTCATGGGCGGCATCGCAGCCCAGGAGGTCATCAAGCTCGTCACCCACCAGTTCGTGCCGGTCTGCCAGCCCCTCATCTACAACGGCATAACCCAGCAGACCGACCTACTCGAGTTCTGAACGTGAATCGTCGCTCAGTCACCTTTTTTTCCTATCTTTCTACTCATGTTAAAAGAATGCATCATCACAGATATTTCAACACCGCCTTCTGCTGCTGCTTTCATTCAGTCCTCTTTAAGTTCGCAACTAGAACGTGTACTGAGATTTACAGTGAATTCTCAGGGTAGGCTTGGTACCGTTGTCATTTGAACTAGGTATTTAGGGTGTTGTATACTTGAAGTAATTTGATTTCGCACTCCTAATAACCACAGGCTTCTTTGTCGGAGTACCAGTTTAACTGGTATGCGTTATCACCTCACGTTGACTTACTGCGTGGTAATACGTTAGTATCGAGTTGGTGCGGACATTGTGTCCGTTTTTTATTGTGTCTTGGTACTCGGATTTCCATATTAAAATAGGACTTTCTATGCAACATCGCATAGGCCCAAAGCTAATCAGTAGCAGTTTAGACAAATCGATAACTTGGTGTTTGGTTTGGTTGCGTGTTGCCGGTTTTGCAATAACTTCTTCCCGATATTTGACAGAAGTCGCTTTTAGCTGTTTGTGGGAGCAAATTGCTCGTAATTTTGTTCCTATCCAAATTTCTATTCTGATCGACCAATTTAAGTTAATGACGGCCAAATCAAAGTCAATTCAATCAGATCGCCGTTAGATTGCGCAAGAAATTGCAAAAGACTCCAATTCATAATGTACACACAAGAGTCGAACATCACTTAAAACGTCTTGTCTCGTTAATCTCGACATTTGGATTCGACAAGAGTTGATACATTCACTCAGCACGAAGAAGTAATGGTTGTGGTGTGCATTTCAAAGGCATTGAAACCGTCCTATTAGTGATGTGATTCACCACTGACTGCAAAATGCACGGTCTACAACGGCATTAATCGAACACACACACGTAGTCAAATAAAATAATGGACGAGCACGAACGACACCTGCCGCCAATCTGCGTCATAAAACGGTCGACTTTGTGATAGCACAAAGGTGTGTTCTGCCAATGGTGCTACCTCCAAGGAGTTAAACAACGAGCCTAACTTCTACTTTCAATTCAGCAACCAAACTGATATAGGCGGTATTAAAAAAATCTGTCATTTGTATAGGAGTTTGCAGGGCGCATTAATGCTGCCTTGAAACATTGGTCAACGGAATCTGTGAGCGCGGAATCCAACTATTCGCCGAAGGTGCACAAAATTCCTTCTTTAGTCCTCTTGACAGCCGGCTTTGTTGACATGCACTTCATTCGTGTGAACAAAATTTTTAGGACTTGTGATTTACTCCTAAACCCTTACTCGACTGACGATTTACTCTCCGGTTCGTAGTGTTAAATTCACGTCCTTTCACCTGCATGCTTCTGCGAATAATCAAATGCGCTATTTCTGAGGCATTTGTGAGCGATTTGCAAATGACTCACTATGTAATCCATTGCCACTTATTAATTCGGCATGATCACTTCAGAGATGTATGTGGAGTGGAATCCATCTTATTACAAAAAAGATTTCCAAAAGCTTACTTGAAGTATCAGGTTCGCGCTTCTGAGAACGGGGCACTTCCTCTGAGTTTTACACAACTCCTTCGATGGATGCCGGCACGAGGTGCACCCTCGGTTCACGAAAACGGATTCCTACGAACCGTTAAATTAGCAACTGCAAGTGATTTACTGGAACAATAAATTAACCTTGTACGTTTGAACCTGCAGGATACATTAACCTGCACCAAGAATCGGTGATGAGAGTTAAAATTGACGTAAGTTTTCGACGATCTCACACCTCCACCACTAGTGTGGTTGCTGAGAAAAACCACCTTAATAAGATGAAGCAATTTTCTCTATTAAGTACAAGATAACTAACAGTAGAAAATAGACCGTTCATGTACAGAAATTGAAGAAAAATTTGCTAGACACCGAAGAACAGGGCTTATTCTCCTCTGCCTAATTGGATTTAGAACCTTCAGATTGGGGGTTGGTGTCGGGAATTCCGCCTAATTTGCCAGTCATCTGCTGGTACCATAGCTGTGAATAGTAGGAGTTCGGTGTTGCGAGGAGGCTCTTGTGGGTGCCCTCTTCGAAAACGCGTCCTCCTCGAAGCACAAGTATTCTATCAGCATCTACAATGGTGCTAAGGCGGTGCGCGATCACTATGGAAGTGACACCAGGAGTTGCCTTGGCAAGGCGTCGAAGAATCGTCTAAAAATCGTGAAAACTCCATTTAAGGGAAAGCCGGCAGACAGCCTCGTGATCCTGAAAAAACTGAAATTTCAGAATTGTGGACTGAGTTTGAAAGCCAAAAACAATCAAACCTTTGGCAACATTTCACAGGCAAGGGTACACACTTACGTATTCCGTGATTGTGTCCAAAGACGAGGTGGCCTCATCGTAGATCAGAATTGGGGACTTTTTCAGGAGGGCTCGGGCGATAGCCACCCTCTGCTTCTCCCCTCCGGAGAGCTTCAAGCCGCGCTCACCAACCTGTGCAGGGAAAAACCTTCGAGATGAACTGATGGACATGTCGTGAATCGTGTTTGTTCAACCCCTTAATCCTCTCTTTCCGCCTCCGTCTCCCCTTTTTCGCAGCATGGCACCAGCCTCGCGAATCCTCAACTCCCCTTTCATTCGCACGGATATCCATCTTGGATTACCCTCACGCCTAGGTCTCGATGTTAGCGCATGTTTGGCTCACACATCCGAGGTATAAATACACACGCGCAAACCCCACACACGACACAACGACGCCAACGTGCTTGAGCTCTGAAGTAAACGGTTGTGTCCACGTCCTCTCCGGTCGTTTTCTTCATCGCGGGTGTCAGGGGAAGGTAATCGGGCCAGGGTTAATTCCGTGGCCCCGGCGTGGTTCAAGACCACATGCGGGGGCCCACAACAGACACATTTACCGTGCACAAGCAGCTACGACACAGAACATGGTGTAGCGGAATGGCATGTGAATTGAGTGGAGACATGCGGAGTTCACTAGATAATCGCATTTATCAAATCGGCTTCGACACTCGCAATCTAGATAGTAACGACTGGTTGTGCGTTGAGTCATTTCAAAAAAAAGCACAGACAACTACAGTGACAATCAGCATTCTCTAATGACCATGGGCTGGGTGACAAAATCGCAACCCGTCCTAATTTAGTGCCACTATGTGTCAATTTTTTTTGCACAAGAGCTTACGACGGCACCAGACTTGTTGTTTGCATATAACCGAATCAGCGCCGGGTAGTCGTTAGAAAATATCACCAAGTCAACAAAATCTACGACCTGAGCCCAGTGCGTTCTCAGTAAGGAATGTGGACCTGACAAGCGTCAAAAATTGTGACCTGTTTGAAAGGGGAATTGCAAGCTTCGAAAAGCGGGCTTCCATTTACCACGACGTGAGGAAACATTCGAAAGGATACATTCAGCGCAACAGAAGACAAATCGCCTAAAAAGGCTGCACAAAAGGTATCTCACAGGTGTTTCGTAGCCAAGGGGCATTCGCTGGATGGCCTGATCCAAGTCAGCGAGTCTGGCCGCCTCGTACACCTCTTCGTCACTTGCCTGCAGATTGCCATACTTTAGATTGTAGAAGATGGTGTTGTGAAACAGAACGGTGTCCTACAAGGAGAAGCATTGGCACATTAAACATGGCACAGCAAAATTCTGAGGAAGCCGCATTTCCACAATTGCTGTCGTTACTTGCATCTTCCAAGAGAATGCTTAACTCGCTAGATCGAAATTGGCTTTTGCACCCCCAGGAGAACAGGAAATCGACATTACTTTATTAAATCGAATGACTTAGGTGCAAAAAAAATTACATCCCAAAACAGCGACCCAATGAAACCGCGGCATTAAGCGAATAAAACTAAAACAACCTCCTCTTTAAACAGACAACGCGAAGGGCTTAAGGGGAGAACAGGAAATATGGACTTTGCCAGCATTACAGCATTCAACGACAAGGTTAAAGGATTTGCGAGTTGTTGCATCATTAGGCAGAACTGCAGTTGAGGGAAGGCGCGTGTCTTTAACTGGGCCATCAGTCTCCAAATTACCATACACGTCTTTCTTAATAAGCGGGATTGAAGCAAAGTGTCTGACGCATTCTCTCTGATGAATTTATAGTCATAATACATCGAAATCACATGTCAATACACACGATCGGATGTTCTCGTGAGGAATGGTAAATTAACATTAAGGTAGGATAATTCGACGCAGAAAAAAAGAATCCTTGCGATGTTTTTTGGGATTCAGATTTATTTGTGTAGCTTAACCGCAATAAATGGATGCGGCAATCGGATCAAAACTAAATTTATGCCTGCTCTGAAGTATAGAAAAAGACCGGGGTTAGAAATCAACTTTAAGCCAACAACAATGCGAAAAAAGACGTGCAAAAATTTGGAGAAAAAGATGGTGTTACATGTGACAAATCACGCACATAGCAAAGGGGGACTCTTTCTTTGTAGAAATTAAACAAGCGAACAAAGTTGCAACGAATTTCTCAAAACACCATTCGCAAGACGCCACACCAAACGCAACACGCACCGCCAGCTACCAGGGAAATGACAAATCATGCAGTGGTCGTCACCTGTGGAACGACAGCCATGGCCTTGCGAAGGCTGAACAAGTCGACGCTTCGGATGTCCTGCCCGGCAATCAGGATGGAACCGGCGTCGGCATCGTAGAATCGGTAGAGGAGCCGCACGATGGTGGACTTGCCGCTGCCGCTTTCGCCCACAACGGCGACCTTTTGTCCGGGTTCGATCTGAAATGTGGGGGAGCGCTCGGCAGTAAAGGCCAGGTCAGCATCAACTCGAAACACCTTCGTGATTAGTAATCACAAGACGGTTATATTTATTTGAAAAAAAGAAAATTACCAAAGGTAGGGAATAAAGGAACACATTGATAGCCCAATCAATTGATAGATCGTTGAAATGACACTCCTATTCTGAATTGTTTCATGAAACAACAAAAGACCCAAAAAGGGATGTAGAGAAGAAGAAGAAAAATCTTATTCACACAACATGTTAGGCTTATTATGTAGACTTGTTGCATTCAAAGCCACAACTAAAAAAGCACAATTCCAAAGCACTTAAAATGGAACGGCATTCAAGCAAGAAAGAGGTGGATTGCGGTGTTCGCGCACCTCGACATTCAACCCACCTTGAAATTAAGGCCGTCGCAGAGACTACGACGCGAGTTGGGCTCCTTCTGGTAGGAAAAGGAGACATCACGAAATTCAATGCTGGCGGTCTCTTTGCGGACATTCAACTCGGGGGAACCTGGAAGGGACTAAACGAGGAACAAAAAGAAACTAACTGTTTAGATGTTTCCACGGGAAAATTCCACTTCAACACAGCTAAGGTGAATAGCATAAGGTAGAACAACAACAACAATCGAAGTAACCAAACAATGCGAATGTAGAGGTGGTGCACGGCTACTGTTAAATACCAAAATCGTGCCTCACAAAAGCACATCTCACGTTTTCAAAGAAAAACACTCACTCACAACACGGCGAAAACAATGTTTAAGACCGCCCCTTAGAACCAATGAAATTAAAAAAATAGAACCCAACTCAGAGAAAGTGCATTCGCACTGGCTAACACAAGTCAAGGTACATTTGGGGTAGCTCGTTCACTTTCTAATATACCTGCGGAATATGAACCCACGGTGCCAACCGTGATCAACAAACCACGCGACGAAAGATCACTGTGATTTGAGTACTTTGGCAGGTCTGAAACGTCCGAGAGAGAACTGACTCGTCGCGTCTGCTGGCTGTAATGAAGCCAACAACAGAATCGGACGACACACTCACGTGATCTCGCCCCCTCAGATGAAGATTCCTGCTAAACTGGAAGCTCCCCTTGTGTTTCAAGTGAAAAAAAATGCTAGAAAGGATTTGGTCAAATTACTAAATCGGATTTGCGTGCCTCAACAGAATTTTTCTGATCATTAAATAAAAAAATTTAATTCAGCAAGTGACTGGTGCAGACGAATGCGGAATAGCAATACGCCTCTACTTATTTCGGAAGTCACCGCAGTAGTCAGAGAAATTTAGGTAACGAAAATGCAATTCTAGCAATTGCTTAAGCACACGTTTGGCAGGCACCGCTACTAATCGATCTTCAGCCTGTTAACATATGCACGGAGTCCATGAAATGCTTAATTTTGTACATAAAAAGCATATCCTACCTGGACTTTCGGTTTGATTTCCATCAACTTAAACATTGTGGTCATATCGACAAGAGATTGGCGTATCTCCCGATAGACGCTGCCGAGGAAGTTGAGCGGGACAGAGAGTTGGAAAAGGAGGCCATTGACAAGGACGAGGTCACCCACGGTGAGTCCAGAGGCTGCCACCTTGGAGGCCAGGGCACTCACCGCATCGATGGGGACTGGGTCGATCTGGCCGGCGACGATGGCCATGGTCGCGGCCAGGCCCGCGGAGAAAATGGCCACCTGGCCGAAGTTGAGCGCCGCCAGACTCGTGGCAGTCTTTATGCTGGCTTTCTCAAATCGCCCCTGCAGACCATCGTAGATGCTGACCTCGTGCTTTTCGTTCCCAAAGTACTGCGCAGGTGGAAAGAGATGAAAGTAGTCAATTTCCCGAGTTCACTGGCTGACTCGAGAAGGTTACCGAATAGATGTGTTTGCAAAAACGGTAAAATGAACCCGGAAAACAGTACAACTCATTCCTGAGAATCCCCGATCGATTCATCCCTGCTAAGATTGAGCTGAGAGGTACAATTTCAAGTTATGTGCACGCCAGGTGCACAAAACGTGCGTACACTTTTGCACCACGATGCGTCCGCATTTCTCACACACGCGATAATCAACCTAGCCTGAAATACCATACGGAGTGCATGGTTAACCTTGCTAGTGGGTTTTGCAAGGCTTCGTGATAACGGCCAAAAATTTTGCTTGAGTTCACAGCATTTTCGAACCCCCGGCATTTCAGGCCAACTAAGCTAATCATTTGAAAACAAGATGTATCACTTCTGAGGGCCAAGAGTTTCATCACAGATATAAAAAAATTGGTAAATAAACTCATCTATGTGTGCGTTCAGATTTACGGAACTGATTATACTTCAGAAAATAAGATGTTTTAGAACAGATATGGTGCGCCTTCGTGGATAAATTATTTCGCTTGAATATAGGGCGTTTCCTCTAATAACTATCCTGCACTTACAGATGTTTAAACAAGTTAGGATGATACCACTTCACACTTGCTATAAGCAGGCATTTGTTAGCAGTACCTTTTTTCCTAAAAGCCACTTTTTGAAAACAAATGTGTTCTGATTAATAATTTACAGATTTTTGATAAGTTACCACAAAATTAGAATCATACTATTTGCTCGGGCTTCTTCCATTGACTCAACGATTGTTTCTATAAAATAGAGGTAAAACTAGCTGCTACAAAACTGGCATTCGTTGTTTGAACACTTTCATTTACACAGAACGCTTGCTTAAAAAAGGCATCTAGTTGTACGGTTGGAAGGAGGCTTTTTGTTTTACAAATGGCAAAAAATCATCTTCACCCAATTCAGAACCATGCTATACGCAAGAGTTGGGAAAAAACCGTGCGCCAGTAAAGCAGTGTCACATAAAAGAAAGAAGAGAGCGATTTCTCTTGATTTAAGACTCACTTTAATGGTTTCGTAGTTGATCATAGCATCGGTGGCGTGACTACCGGCCAGGCCATCGGCTTTGTTCATTTCGCGACGAAATTCAGTCCGCCAACGTGTCACAGCCAAGGTGAACGCCGTGTAAACGCCTATGCAGGAGAGAGCGATGGAACTGCACTCGAAACCATACTTCTGGAACTAAAATTCAACACCAAGTAATTCTAAATTATTTTATTGATAAAGTTAGTTCCAACTGTACTGATGTCCGGAAAAAGTAAAGTTCATTACATTCGTTATTACATAACCACCAAGTGCCATCAGATGCAACTCCCAAGCAACAGTTTCTGTTTTTACACAAATCTTGCCTAATTTTAAGGGAAAAACTGTCAGCGAAATAGTTAAAAAAAAACATCGCCTGACAACTCTGTGCGAAGTATAAGCCGCTCACCAAAATCGCCGTTACCAATCCGACTTCCAGTATTGTCGGCAGAAGATTGAAAACGAGAGCAATGAGAACAAACTGGATGGCCCGTGCACCGCGATCGATCGCTTTCCCCACCGCACCAGTTCTCCTATCTAGGTGGTAGGCCAAGTCAAGCGCAAGCACATGGTCAAATACCGCCACACCAACTTTTCGAATGGATGAATGTGCTGCTCTTGCAAAAACAGCATTCCGTAACTCGTTTAAACCGGAGGCTGAAGCTCGCACGGCGCCGTCTAAGAGAAGAAATAAGTTTAACGTGAGGAAAGTGTAGATTCGATGCAGGAATAAATGCACGATTATGTACATGTTAACATAGTCGTGACAGCCATTGCGGTGGGCGAGCAATCGGAGAGAAGGACTGGTGAATCTCCAGAGAGAACGTCAATTCCGTACTTGAAGATAAAAGGAACGGCGACGTTCGCCAGCTTCGCAGCCAACAACAATCCAAAAGCTGTGGCAACGCGGAAACGGATAGCAGGGTTGTCAGACGGCCAAATGTACCCCAACAGACGACGGATGATCTTTGCATCTGTCCCCTGTAAAACAATTGTATCAATAAGCCGATGCTGCCAAGAGAAAATGGTAAATAATGGCCCAACAACTCTAACAAAATTTAACTCACTCGTTGGGGAAATCGAGGGGAATCAGGATCAACCTGCACATGCATGTGCATATATCGATTTGGAAAGCATTGAACAGAGGAGCTAACTTTCTCCAGCAACAGAAGCTGAGAGTTCCTCCTTATTGCATGCAAAGTAGGCAAAGTTCGAGTAAATCTTGGCGTTGAACGCAGCGCACATCTCGCCCAAAATGGGAGAAGAAAGTTCATTTTTAGAAGCCGTGCAGACTAATGACGAAGTAGAAAATCATGTGGTTGGTTCTTGAAGTGTTTTTTTCTTTACTTCCTTTAATAACAATTAAAAAAGACGACATGTCTAGTGATCAGCAATTGAAATTAAGC